CTTAAGAGTTTTATCATAAATTCACAAAATATTAATATAATATATAAAATTCATATCAAATTTAATTCAGAGCCTTTTATGGCATTGCTGTTTGAAATTACAGTTTAACCTGCACAGATTAGGGAAATTTTTAAACACAAAATATTCTAATTTAAATCCTCTTAACATTATAAAATGGCACCTAGGTTTATCATTTGAAAATAAGTTGCGTTTATAATATACTATGCTCACTTCTGAGATTTTTTTTTTTAAGTCAACAGACTGCAATTTCCAACTTCAGTATAAGGAACATACTGTAGTTGAAGCCTGGATAAATGCTGAGCAAAAGCATTTCTGTTTTATGAACAAAGAAATATGTGCTTCACTTTTTTCCCACTTATAATGACAGTTTACAGTTTAAGTAATTTTAAATAATATAACACCAAATCACTAGTTTGTGATAATTTCTTCTTAATCATGGGGAGTGTTGACCTAGTGGGTTAGAGCACTGCTCTGAGAAGGTTGCAAGTACTTGGTTTGAATCCCACTGCCTCCACTCTGGGTTCCTGAACAAGACCCTTAACCCCCGACTTTTCCCTGGGTGCAACACAATGGCAGCCCACTGCTCCTCAAGGGGATTGGTTAAATGCAGAGTACACTTCTCCAATGTGAGATCAATAAAGTTTCATTATTATTGTTGGAGAAACATTTCAGGCTTGGGAGAATTCTGGAAAAATATTCATATAGACTTGAATATTAACAATACACCAGAGAAAAAGGAAAGATGTATTGGTGTAATAATCCAAAACAACTAGTCTGATCAGCCATCTATGGTGACTGCCATCATTTCTTTGTTTTGGTTTTGCTGGCATCCCGTTTTCGTCCACCCGCTATAATCGTTACCTTTATTTCTTCAAATATTCTAAGAGAACAGATTTTGCAGTGCAAGAACTACAGTGTGTTCTTATTTGCTTGTGCTAAGGAACCTACCAAGATTTTTTTTAGAAATCTTTCTTTTTGTTTTGTTTTATCCAAAAAAATAAATATTTTTTATAAGCATACCGGTACGTGTTTTAATATAGGTTATAATAAAATAATTAAGAATTAATGTTACTGATATGAGCTCCTGCCTGAAAATCATTCCATTTATGCATCCAAGTCTGTTGGAGAGACCTCCCTCATTCCTCTAAGCAACGCAGGCAATGGGTAACAGCTTATCCTTGGTTAGAGAGAGTAAGACCAGGACATTTCACTGACCAGGTTGTTGAGAGAATAAATGGGCGTGAAATTTTAAGTTAATCTGCAAATCATCAACCATACAAAACTGGTTATACCTAAAAGAAAACATTTCTGCTCTTTTCTTCTGAGATTAGAGAATACATTGGAATAAAAGTGTATAGGCGGAGAATTTCATGAAGTTTGAAGGGAAAGAAAATGCTGGCAGAAATTGAAGAGGAAATTTTAATTGAAATACAGAAAACTTGATAGAAACACAAGAGGTAGCTAGACGAATAAAAGCAAAACTAGAAGCCATCACAGCCATCATGATATTAAAATAAAGCACACCCAAGAACAATCTCAATAGTTATGCAAAAGATATTTGTAGACTACCCTTGATTTTTTCTTTAAATGTCAATTGTATAAAGCGGTATTAAACTAAAGAACACCCTGCAAGGGTGCAAGGGTGTTTTTCCCTAACTGTAAATATGCCATCTGTTTATTTATGTGTAGATAGATAGACGTAGTGAAGGTTTATCACATTAGTGTGATTCCTTTAAACATAATCTGTTTTGCATGTCCTTACAAATACCACAATCTGCTCTGTCTAAATAAAACAAAGGCTAAACATTACCGTACTTATTTTCCAGGATCTCTAGCTAAGCTATAGGTGATCTGAAAATATTACAACCGTATGCCATTTTTAAGACATCAATTTTGTTTAAACCTTTTCACAAAACATTTGCTTTTTATTTCAGTCTTATATTCAGGTTATTTTAGTTCTGTGATCAAAAGGTTTAGGGAAGTAAGTAAAGGTTAAATTAATTTAAAAGCGGACATACACTAGTAAACATCAAACATGGGAAGTCATGTTGCATGACTCAAACAGACAATAACATAAAAAAAAAAATAGTAGGAAAAAGAGGAAATAGTTCTCTTTCCTAAGAACCCTGAATAAATACTTCCTTATTTTCCTTTTTTTTTTTTTTAAGTTTATTATATGTCTTTGTCCTCAGTATTAATACAACTTAAATATATTTGCATATTTAACCGCACCAGGTACAACACCATTTAACTTCAGAATTACCTTAAGTATTCATGGCATGGCTGTAGAAATGCTGAAAAATGTTGAAAATGTTGAAAAGTTGTTAGAAAAAGTTGTTAGAGCATTCTGTTAGGGTTCCTGAGGTTCTGAGTTCGAGTCCCACAAACTGCCATGGACTGCAACTCTCCATCCCTGAACAAGACCCTTAACCCCTAACTCCCCGGGCGCCACAAAATGGCAGCCCACTGCTCCCCAAGGGGATGGGTTAAATGCAGAAAGTGAATGTCCCCATTGTGGGAAAAAAAAAAGGTGGAGAACTGGAGAATCTCCCTTAGGCCGGGCATACACTTTCTGATATTTTGTCCTTTTCTCCAGTCATGCAAGAATTTTTTTGAAACTGGTTCAGCCTCATCATGCCTGCGTATAGTAGTGTAATGAGGGGTGATTAGCCTATCACGACCACCTCCCGATCAGGAATCATTAGGTCGGGAGAAAATCAAATATGTTTGAAATTCAGTTGGCCCTCGTAAGGTGTTTGTGAGTAAATCCTGCGTCTATGAGCCCATTTATCAGAACCTCATGCACTGCACATGTGCAAACAAGAGAGTTCCTCTTCTTCACTTTCCAGATTGGCGGGTTCGACAAGCGCCAATTTTGGTGCTCGGCACCATCGTACAGTTTGAGCTGTAGCTGAGTACAACAATTGAAAATATCCTACAGTGTATGCCCGCACTGTTAGCAAACAATAACCTTTTTATAGTTAAGGAACCAGTTTTTGACCATCTACACTTTATGAAATGACTTGTGATTTACCCTGCTAGAAGTATCTAAGAAAAATTTTCTGATGCAGTGTTTATCAAATCACATTGACAGAAATAATTTTTACAGAAACTTTGCAAATAATTTTAATAGAGAGAAAAGATTCTGATAACAACATAGAGGTTAACTCGAAATGTAAGCCCTGCAAAAATAAGCCATATCTTTTATATTTATATAGCAGTAGTGAAGGGAACATAATTTTTGTATTTCAATGCAAAATTATTGCTTGTGTTGAATTTCTGACAGCGAAATGCAACAGGCCCACCAAACCCACGAACACTTCCACAGTAACCAATAAAAACAATATAGGGTTATTTCTTTGTCTGATTAATAGGTGCTAAACTGATCAGTTTCGGCTGTGAAACAAAAGCATAATGCTCTCTAGGTTGGACTGTGTATAAAGACACAGATAAGAGCTGTTGTTGGGTATATATTATATCAATATAGTTTTAAAAAATGCAGTTACATATAAACAAAGATTATGTTTTATGAACACCTCAGGAACTGCATCTTGAAATATATGAACCAAAGAAGGGAATTAGCATGGCAGAGGCATTTAATCCAAGCCTAGCATAAAAAAACAGATTACATTTTCAGAATATACTTTGGGACAAACTCCTACATCCATAAAGACCATCATTTTCAACAAGCGTGCAAATGAGGATGTTATCCCATATGTGAAGTATGGGGTTGAACATGTGTGGGTAGTTTGCGGTAAGAAGGACTGGTGCATGCAACAAAATAAACTGCTGAGGAAGGTAAATTGTGCCAGACGTCAGGTGAGAAGTGAAAGTTTGGGCATAAATGTAAAGTTTGGGCATAAAAATGATTGCTTAATATTCTTATGAACAGCAAAATCAGTGTTTTATAGGGTGACTATCACAAAGATCCGATATCTAATTTTCTCAAATTGCTGGCCAGAATTTCAGAATATCCGTAGAGGCTTTTTGAAGGACACCTTTAAATCGTGACTAAGCTTCACAAAATCAAAGGCAAAAATAAGCAAACTTCTCTTTGCCGCATGCCTGGTGCAATGCCATAGCTTCTTTCACATCATTTCTAATTTGTTGAGAAAGCTGTATTGGTCTAGCTTCTATCTGCAGTTGCTAGCTTTGGAGAAACTTTGCCTCTGCCAGTCTAAATAATCCAAAGTTCCTAAGTGGATGGACCAATTTATAAATTTTGCTCTAAGATCTATCTTTTCACATTGTCAGTTGCAATATGATTGACCAGCAAAAGGGTATCTAGGTCTCTACTAGGATGGATGGATATGTTGAAACTCTCGGTTAGGCATATGCCCGTCTCTGGAATATGGCCTAGATGAGTAACTGTCTAGCTCGTCACATTTTCGGTAAATGCTCATCTGAGAATTTTCCAATGCTTACTCTGACCAACCTGATGCCTGGTGGTCTATTAGAAGCTGAACCTTGAGGATGGCGTTCTGTAAAAATGTATGTTTTGTTGTGAATAACAATACAGTACTACTGGGATTTATTCTTGTTTAATTTGTTCAGTCAGCCTCATTTTACCTACCTCTATTATGCCTAAATGTGTCCCGATTTCACCAGTCCACCCTGGCAGTTCATAAGCGGTCTTGGTGTATTAGTTCTGCTTTGCTCTCTAGTTATTCTTGTCTCCATGTCGCTCATGTCTCTTTTGCATCTTGTTTTGGCGTTCCACAACTTGTGATTTCTTTGTTCTCTAATAAAATTAAGTTTCCCCTTTTATATCTGGTTCCCCTGTACCCATTGAATTATAATTTTGGTAAAACAACATTTTTTTTTAATTCACCCAAAGTTCTTCCTCTTTAGCTACCTCCTTACCTGGTATATAAGACCTGTGTCTCAACTAATTTTGACAGTTTTCCTGCTGATCACAGACTTATGCCATCTTCTTCCCTTGTCCTCATTATATATTGCTTTTTTTTGTTTAAAACTTAACTTTTCTTATTTTGTGAAGGAAGAGTCTTATCTTGCCCATCATTTTTACGCATCCATTTGGCTCCCTAGGCCCTCTAGGCCATCTCTGCAATGCCAAGACTAAACAAGATGCAAGGCAGCAGTTTTTTCATAGTAATCTTGGTGGTTTCACCCGCCCTCTCCATGAACACAGTAAGTATTTTAGGTTTTATGCATGCTAAGATAAACCACTGATAAATATAACCTTTTTAAGCTTGAGACAGACGAACTGGGACAGGAACTAACACCGTTTTGACTTATCAATGTATAACTGTAATAATTTTATATAGTTGTCATTGTCTTATTCAACCTATTCAAGACATATCTTATCTTAGAATCTTGAACACATATATGTAATGGTGAAAATTCCTAAACCTTGTTTTTGTTTAGTTTTAGTTTGTGTTTTGTACCGAGCCTTTCATTATATTCACTGTCTTAAGCCACAATATCCTGGGATCAGTAAATACTCCAAACATCCCTATAAAAACTCAAAACCCCACTTGTAGATAAACCCACATACAGTAATTCTCTGATGCACCCACCAGTTCCAAGCTTGCATGAATCTGCCTTTACTTGTTAGTTCAAATCAGCATTTCAACTTTAATGATTCTTTCATCATTCAGTTTGTGTAAAAATGTGTTGGTGAGGAAAGAAAGTTAATGTAAATTTGATGAAACAGCAGGAATAAAGACATTGTTTGATCTTTAATTTGTTAGATTTATTTTCTAGACCTAACCAAAATAAGAGCTCCTTTTCCTAAAAAAATTCAATATATTCTAGCCATTAATTTTCTTCCTCACACCAAAAAAATGTCCTGCTAACTTGTCTTATTTTTTTATCTAGCAAGAATCAAACACGGTTGGTAAGTTGTTTTATGTGTGTTTTTTCATATTATTTTGTATAAGTCATTTTGTTCAAGGGTTTATATCATTAAATTCAAAGAAGACTTGTGTTGTTTTTTTCTGTAGACATTGACGACAACAAGAATAACACTGATGGTGAAGTTGATTTTCTCTGTTATAATAAAGGAAACATGCTGTTTCTGTATCAGATTTAATAATAGATTTATGAACTGTAGCTTTCTGATTATTTTGAAAAATAAGTATTTTTTTCTTTATCTTAGATCCATTAAGTGATGATATTCATAAGGTAAGTTTATCAGGCAAAAGTTGAAGGTTTATTTCTCTAAGAACAGTGACTTAACGAAAACTCAAATTGTGTGATATTGTGTGACGAAAAATGTCACACATTATATCTTATATAATTTTTATTTAAGCCGCCAAACACTGGAAGAAGTAGTACCCTGGGAAGAGACATTCTGTGGAAATCTCCAGTTCCCTACACGATGAATGAAAACATTGGTGAATAGCTCTATCTATCTATCTATCTATCTATCTATCTATCTATCTATCTATCTATCTATCTATCTATCTATCTATCTATCTATCTACATATATCTACATACAAACACAAATA